TTGCCTGTTATTCTGATTGGCCCGCATGGAAGTGTAGAAGTACACGCCATGTTTGACGAGGGGTCGTCCGTGTCGCTGCTGGATGAGGATGTTGCTGTACAGTTGGGTTTGAAAGGACATGCCATGCCACTTACACTGCAATGGTATGGAGATAGCCAAACCACAGAGTATTCGAAATTAGTGTCGTTAGATGTCAGAGGCGTAAATGGTCGCAACTACCCTCTGAAAAGCATACATACCATCAAAGGCCTCAATTTGCCGCGGCAATCGTTCACCAAATCCGAGTACGCGCATCTAAGGGAACTGCCAGTGGAAAATTACGCCGAAGTCAAACCTGTTCTGTTACTTGGCTTGGACCACTGTCATTTAAGTGTGCCAATTAAAGCAGTCACAGCCAGGAACGATCAGCCAGTCGCTATCAACACAAAGTTGGGCTGGGTCGTATACGGACCACATTGCCACGAAACTGCCGCCATTCCTAGGGTTCTGTAAGTTGGAAAATCCAATCCGTTAGGTCAGTTGAACAAACTTGTGGAGGAATACTTTTCAGTCGAGAATTTCGGCGTCAGGAGCAACGACGCCTTGGAGGCAGAATGTACTCAGCGTGCCAGAAAAGTATTGGCCGAAACCACCAGAGACCTCGGCCAGAGGTATGAAGTTGGGTTGCTTTGGCGGGAAGAGAGGGTCAATCTTCCACCAAGCTATGCAATGGCCAAACAACGTTTGCTCAACATCGAGTCTCGCATGCAGAGAGACGCCATATTCGCCGACAGCTATAAGAGAGAGATTACGAAGTACGTGGACAAGGGATACGCAAAGCAGTTGACGTCTGTTGAAGCCGACCGCATTGGGCCCACGACATGGTATCTCCCCCATTTCGGTGTCACCAACCCTCACAAGCCGCAGAAGCTTCGCATTGTTTTCGACGCAGCTGCAGTTGCAAATGGTAGCTCATTGAACAAAGTACTGCTCAAAGGTCCGGAGCAGGCACAGTCGCTAGTCACAATAATACACAAGTTCCGTCAGGGAGTTGTCGCAGTAGCTGGTGATATCGAGGAGATGTTTTCGCGGGTGCGAATTCGTGAAACCGACCAAGACTCACAACGTTTTCTGTGGCGGGATGGTGACCCGAAACAGCCGATACGAATATACAAAATGACAACGATGATCTTTGGGGCCATTTGTTCGCCGTGCTGTGCCGAGCACATAAAAAACCTAAACGCTGCCAAGTTTCAGTCCACAATGCCCAGAGGCTCACGTGCCGTCATCGAGAACACTTACGTGGATGACCTGGTTATGAGTTTTGGCAGTGCCGATGAAGCTATTGATGTTATCCGGGAAGCTGTCAAAATCAACGCCGCCGCGGACTTCAAACTGCGCAACTTCATATCGAACAATAAATCAGTACAACAAAAACTTAATGGTGAATGCGGATCTGCGGGCAAAGCCATCATGAGAATGGAGCGCCAAGCAACAACAGAGAAGGTTCTTGGAATGTTCTGGAATACCGCTAGCGACGGGCTAGAATTCCATTTTCGATTTCATAACATTGCTCACGACGTTCTTAACGGCATACGACCCCCAAGCAAGCGAGAATTGTTGGGGATAGTAATGTCGATGTACGACCCATTCGGCCTTTTATCAAATACCACGATATGCCTAAAATTGCTGGTACAAGAGCTGTGGAAACTTGGTGTGCAGTGGGACGACGCTATTCCGAGCGAATTAGTAGAGCGGTGGCCTAAGTGGTGGAGGAACGCCCAGTCCCTCAAACGTCTTTCGGTACCACGGTGTTACTCCAAAATGTTATTGGTCGCTGAAGATATCCAGCTACATATTTTTGTCGACGCCAGCGCCTCTGCTTATGCTGCTGTTGCGTACCTACGTGTGAAAAAACACGAAAAAGTTGATGTTGTTATGGTATGCGCCAAGACAAGGTGTGCGCCACTAAAAGGTTTGACAATACCGCGCCTTGAGTTACAAGCTGCAGTTTTGGGTTGCCGCCTGAGGGAGTCCCTCGAGCGCTGCCACGACTTTAAAGTGAATAGCACGACGTTTTGGAGCGATTCCCAAACCGTCGTACTGTGGATTCGCTCCACAAGCAGGAGCTACAAACAGTTTGTGGCATTTCGAGTAGCCGAAATATTAAGCACGACATCCGTAAATCAATGGCGCTGGATTCCAACATCATTAAATGTCGCAGACGAAGCAATACCAGCATCTACGTCATTTGACTATAGCATGACATCAAGGTGGTTTACAGGACCAGAGTTCCTTCGTGAAGACGCATCAAGCTGGCCACAGGAAATCACAGAACTGACGTCAAATGAATGTGCACTAGAGGAAGTTGCAAAGCGAGTCATCATCCTGAATACAGGGGAGTATCCAATCAATTTTTCTAATTTTCGTCATTTTTTAAGATTATAAGGGTCGTTGCCTGGATGCTGCGTTTTTGTCATAACGCGAAGTCACATCATCGCCGAAGTGGAGAGTTGAGGTCTGATGAACTTGCAGCCGCTGAAAATAAAATAATTCGTCGCGTTCAGTTCGAGTCATTTGCAGATGAAATCCAAGCCATTAAGCACAAGGGTTGTCTGCCGAAGTTGAGCTCTCTATATCAGCTAACGCCCTTTGTAGACGTCGATGGTTTGCTGAAGGTAAACGGGAGAATTGACGCTGCTTATTGCCTGCCGATTACAGCCAGACGCCCGGTTATCCTGCCACAAAATCACTACGTGACGAGTCTCGTTGCTAAAAAATATCACTGCCAGCTTCACCACCAGAACGACAGTTTCACAATCAACGAAATGCGACAAAGATTTTGGGTGCCTCGTGCGCGTGCTCTGCTCAAGTCAGTCAAGAGGGAGTGTGCTATATGCATTCATACCAACGCAAAGCCAGCAGTTCCGCTTATGGGTCAGTTGCCGGTAGACCGTCTTACACCGTATGTGCGCCCGTTCTCCTATGCCGGAGTCGATTATTGCGGACCCTTTTTTGTGACTATCGGCCGAAGAAGAGAAAAGCGTTGGGTTGGATTGTTTACGTGCTTAACGACAAGGGCCGTGCACTTAGAAATCGCTGCAGCCCTCTCGACTGACTCATTCACCTTGTGTTTGCGCAATTTCGTCAACCGTAGAGGAGTACCCGTGAGAATTCGAAGCGATAATGGGACTAATTTTGTGGGCGCCCAAAAGGAGCTTGAGGCCGAAGAACGTTTGTTTGATTTCAACGCAATACAGGGTGAGATGGCACGACGCAACATTGAATGGCTCTTCAACTGCCCTGCGAATCCGTCAGCGGGAGGCTGCTGGGAACGCCTTGTGCAATGCACCAAACGACTGTTGCAAAGGGTGTTGCGTGAAGAAGCACCGCGATTGGAGACATTCCGCAGCGTCTTACTCGAAGCGGAAAACATTATCAACAGCCGCCCGCTGACTGAATTAGCCGTAACGCCGCAGGACGAAGAACCATTGACGCCAAACCACTTTCTGTTGGGGTGTCTTAACTCCACGCAAACGCCTAGCCCAGCAGAAGAAAAAGTAT